CAAGCGTCACAAGTGTCACGCCTCTAGTGGTTCACACCTAATACAAGCAAGAGGATGAGAGAGGAGAGAGGAGAGGAATGCTAGGAATTTCGGCACCTTTAGGGTTTCTATTAGCCGAAATTCATCAGGCTAAGGGGTCTATTTATAGTGCAGATAGGATGCCCTGGATAACCCCAATTTGAATATAATATTATTAATTCAAATTAGGTAATTATTCACCTCCTTATTTATCCACATGGGATATTTTAGAAACCCTAAAATATTCTTATGAAACCGTCCAAGCCTTCCCTAGGAAGCTTCTGGAGCCTCTTGCTCAACTATTGAACAATTGCACATTAGCCCCTACATTTTTAATTAATTCATTTAATCCCAAAATTAATTCCAATCAATTTCTGATCAAATATTAATTAAATATTGTTATTTCTAATTAATATATTATTTTCATAATATATTAACAAAATCATTTATTTTGATTTATTAATCAAATAATAAATTCAACATCTCTCTCCAAAAGTCATCCTGTCCAGTTGCTAGTTTTGAGGGAAATCCAAAAGGATTGTGCTACTATCAATTCAAGTATATACCAATTATAGTTATGGGCTTAGACACCTAATCCAACATTTTCCTTCTTAAATCCCTCGTCCATAGCCTCCCTAATCAAATCTAGAAGCGGAAAAATGATATAAATCCTCATACATAGTTCCCCAGTAGCAGTTCTAGCCGACTTGCGGCTCAAAGCATCAGCGACCACATTCGCTTTCCCGGGATGATACATAATTGCGCAGTCATAATCCTTAACCACCTCAAGCCATCTATTTTGTTGCATGTTCAGATCCGGCTGGTCCATAAGGTATCTCAGACTCTTGTGATCCATGTAGATAGTGCAACGGTGTAACATCCCCCTATGGCATGTATCACAATATTATCCGTTTTGGCTCCCGGCATGAAAACTTCCCAGGGGGTCACCCAACCCTGAATTGCTCTCGCCCGGGCACGCTTAACTGCAGAGTTCTTATGGGATATGCTGCCTTCACGACTTTAAAACGCGTTGTGTTAGGGAAAGTATCCACATCCTTTATAAGGAATGTTTAGTTCTCCTTCCCAGCCGATGTAGGATTAGGTGCAACCCACCTTCACCCCCATTATAGGTTTCGACGTCCCTGTCGAACACATCGACCCGTGCCCCAGCTCTGATACCATTTGTAACATCCCCCTCTGGCACGTATTACAATATTGTTCGCTTTGGGATCCCGGCGCAAAAACTTCCCAGTGGATCACCCATCCCTGAATTGCTCTCGCCCGGGCACGCTTAACTGTAGAGTTCTTATCGGATTTGCTGCCCTCACGACTTTAAAACGCATTGTGTTAGGGAAGGTATCCATATCCTTTATAAGGAATGTTTAGTTCTCATTCCCAGCCGATGTAGGATCAGGTGCAACCCACCTTCTGATGGGTGACCCCCTGGGAAGTTTTCGCGTTGGGAGCCCAAAGCGGACAATATTGTGATACGTGCCGGAGGGGGATGTTACAAACGGACCCTATAAAGATAATGCCGCCAAATCTTGAGGGAAAACACCACCGCCCCAACTCCAGATCATGCGTTGGATATCGAACCTCGTGCGTATTCAGCTGTGTGGAAGCATACACAATAACTCTCCCTCTTTGCATGAGTACTGCCTCCAAACCGGTGATGGAAGCATCACAATGTACGACAAAATCCTCCATGCCTTCAGAAAGGGTTAACATCGGGGCCTCGCATAATTTATGTCTCAACGTATTGAATGCAGTCCGCTGCTCAGGTCCCCATCGAAAATCTATGCCCTTCCTCATCAGACGAGTGAGAGGTACAACAACCTTGGAGAAATCATGAATAAACCTCCGATAATACCCTGCTAAACCCAGAAAACTCCTGATCTCCGAAGGAGACTTCGAAACCTCCCGCTGCATAACTGCCTCAATCTTTGCCAGGTCGACCAGAATCCTGTTCTGGTTAACGAGGTGTCCCAAGAAATGGACCTCCCGTAACCAAAAATCACACTTCGAGAACTTGGCATAAAGCCTCTCCCTCCTCAAAAATCCCAGCAGCTCTCGAAGGTGCTCCTCATGTTGCTCCCTGGTCTTGGAATAAACCAGGATGTCATCGATGAAAACAATAACCAATCGATCAAGCATCAGCCTGCATAATCAATTCATCAAATCCATAAATATCATCGGTGCATTGGTGAGCCCAAAAGGCATCATCACGAACTCGTAATGACCATAACGAGTCGAAAATGTTGTCTTCTCCACGTCCTCCTCTTTGAACCCCATTTTATGGAACCCTGACCTCAAATCGATCTTGGAAAACCAAGATGCACCCTGCAACTAATCGAAGGGATCATTAATCCATGGCAGTGGGTAACGATTCTTCACCGTTAACTTGTTCAACTCTCGGTAATCAATACACATCCGGTGTGAACCATCCTTCTTTTTTCACAAATAAAATCGGTGCTCCCGATGGAGAACTGCTCGGTCTGATAAACTACTTTCCCAACAACTCCTAAAGCTGAGAGGACAACTCCTGTATCTCTGGTGGTGCTAATTGGTATGACGCCTTAGAAATCCGCATTGCACCGGCGATCAGATCGATCCTGAACTCAACTTGCCTCGCGGGAGGCACGCTAGGTAAATCCTCTGAGAATACATATGGAAAATCTCTGACTATAATCAGATCTGAAAACCGAAACCCCCTTCTCCACCCGAGTGTCCACCACATATGCGAGATAACCCAGACACCCATGCTATAGATACTGTCGAGCCCTGTCGACTGAAAAGTGTATGAGATATGAAGAATAAAGCTTGAACCATGTTGTTAGATGCCATGGTGATAACACTGGTTAAAGATAGATTAGAAAAGGAATGATATCTTTTTATAGATAGAAAGTTGGTGCAACAAGGGTCATGATTGACACTTATGAGAAAATTTAGAGAGAATGTTCCATGTTGCCATGTAGGAACTAAGGAACATGAGAAGACGGGTAAATCCTCCTGTGGAAGTAAGATATAGAATATATAGAGTAAGAGGACACTTTGGTAGTGTGTCTACAAGAGAGAAAGAAAAAGAAGGGTAGCTTCCAGGGTGAGGAAAAATTGACCTATGAGATTATGTAGATATGTGTGTATATGTATCACTTCACTTGCAAGTAACTGTTAGAGAAAGAAGAAAGATTAGACCTTATGTGTAATAAGGGACAATTAGCAATAGAGTGTGAAGTGGCATGGGGAAGTAAGAAGAAAGTGTACTTGTGAGAAGAGACTAAGGTTAGATGTAGAGTCGTAATAGATGATGTAATGACCAAGTGTCATATAGAGATGAGAAGTTAGAAACATTGGGAAAGAAAAGAGGTAGAACTTTCTTACTTTAAGCAATTTTGCAACACTCCTAATCGACATCTAACTTACATAAAGCAATATTGGGGTCCATCCTTCAGTATCGTTTTCTAACCTTGCATTTTTCTTCCTTTTGTAACGTGCCTTCCTGTTTGTGCATTAGAAAAGAACATTCTCAATCAACTATCATACATCCAAGAGGCTACGTAGCAACAATATTGTGAATCAAACAATAACAAATATGGTTTTCACAGCAATATTTACATGTGTTGGTATTGAAGGAGTTTGCAACTGTTTACCTTTGTCGATATTATTCTATGACCTAAATGACATTTAAAAAAAAAAGATATTTCAAGAATGGAAGTTGAGTTTGGTATGAATTAACCATTAAACTTCTAAGATGGTGTTTGACTAAGCTTAAAAAAAGTTTTTTAACTTATTACCTGTTCCACACCGTTATAAGTTCAAATGAGTGTTTGGATAGATTGTTTTTTAAAAACAGTTTATAGTGATGTGGAAGTACAAATAAGTCATTTTTGATAAGCTACTAACCCCTAACTTATCAAAATTATTTATAATTTATAGTTGTTCAACATCTCCAGGAAACCTTCTTTTTTGTTATTTTGCCAAACACTTAAAATTGTTTATCAACTTATAGCGTTTTCACACTGGATTAGATAATCTAGACACTTTTTTAAAACGCCGTTTTGGCACCGCTATAATTTAAAAAGTTATAATCAAAAAGTTAAAAAACATTTTTAAATATGTTTAGGCTGTGTTTGGCGTGCCACAGCTAGCTGATAAACTAGCTTATATTTCGAGTTTTTTTATGTTGTCGTGTTTGGTAAGCCAAAAAGTAGTTTTTTTAAGCTAGCTTTTTGAAAAACTACTTAGACTAGCTTTCTAGGAGCTTTTTTAAAATTTTCCAAATACACCCCTTAATTAATTATAGAAACACATACTCATACATGTCCTTTTATGTAATTTTATATATTTCAGCTAGCTTTTCAGCTAGTTTTACCAAACGTTATTTTTTATCAGCTAGCTTTTCAGCTATCAGCTAGCTTTTTATTTAACAGCTAGCTTTTCAGCTATCAGCTAGCTTTTTAGCTAGTACGGCAAACATAGCCTTAGTCCAGACACTTTTTTAAAACGCCGTTTTGACACCGCTATAAATTAAAAAGTTAAAAAAATATTTTTAATTAAGTATTTTATAGATACAAAATAAGTCATTTTATAACATTTTTGGTTATTTTGCGGTGGCTATTGCAAAGCCAAATTACATTAAATAACAAAGTAATAGTCAATAGTTTTTGAAAAAAATATTTTGCAACCAAATTACATTAAATAACAAAACAATAAACAAGATTTAAAAAAAAAAAAACAAAATCGCAAATCGCAATGTATATATGTATTTCACAACAATGTGATTGTGATAAATGTTTCGGTAAAAAAAATCACAGCGTAAAGTGATTTCAGAATCTTATCATTACAAAATAAAATGACTATTTTGAAAGAATATGAAAAATAAATAGTATTATTATGTTAAATGGATGCACTTTTTTTTTTTGTTCACTAAAATAAATTTAATAATTTTATTATCCGATATCTTGAAATCTCTTACAAAAGAACACAAAGAAAGAAAGGGTTTCTTCCATTGATGGAACTCATCTTGACCCTCATTCGGGTGTGTGTTGTTCAAGTGTTGTCGTGCATGCATTTTGTGCATCTCTCATCTCTCATCTCTCTTCTCTTCTCTTCGCATGCACACACGCTTTCTTTCTCTCTCTACATCTATTAAATTCCTATTTTTTTTTTCTCAATATAGCTTCACTCATCAATCAATCATCAAAATAAACTCCACCTGTACAACATAACCACCGCCGCTACAAGTTATCCACCACTTCCCACCGTCACCGCACCCAAATTCCGGCTAGATTCAGGAGTACACACTCTTGTTTTTTGTACAATCAGTCAGTATTGGGTTGTTGTTTATGTTATATGTGTGTTTCTACTTTGTTTTTCGATGGGTGTGTGCATGGGTGCATTTCGATGTGTTCAATTTAGTTGATTTCGATCCGAACAATAACAGTTTGGTGGATTAGCAGCTTCGATTGTGTTTTTGGTAAGTTTCAGGATTTGATGCGTTTTATCAATTTCGTGATCGATTTGATCGTTGTAATGAACAATACTGTCGTTCGATTTGTGTTTTCTGTTAGGGTTTTGATTTGGGGTTTTTGCTTTGATATGCATGGTTTAAGATTGAAAGATCTGGAGATTTAGATTAGATAAATTTGGGGGTCAAATGTCGTCGTCGAAGGTTTGCATGAATGGATTGTGTGGGGCGAAGACGACTCCTCAATGGAAGAGAGGTTGGCCCATGAAGGCCGGCGGTTTCGCGACTCTCTGCTACACTTGCGGGTATGTATCTACTTATCTCAATTTTACCCTTTCCTTTTTGGGAATTTTACGTAATCAGCTGCATAGATCGGTATTTGTAGCAAGGGCATTTCGGGATTCTGATTTTGGGATCCCTAATTTAACTCCTGAGGATTTCCCTGTAATAAATACTTCACGATTACGATTATCTCTTGATTTTGGTAATATTTGGGTTCTTGCATTTGTGATAATATCTAAAGTTTGACCTTTACTTATCCTTTTGCAAATTTACAATTGGTACTGCATGGGATACAATTCAATCTAACAGAGATTGCAATTTAAGGATTGCGTCTGTCTATTATCTTCCCCAAAATGTATGTTTGTGTAAATTATGAGAATTGGAAGGATCGTATCATATTATCATGTTACTTGTCAGGAACACCCTTTCCAACCATTGATGCTGATAAACTTTGATTTTCATCTATAATGCAAATGAACCTGTTTGCTCTAGACCTCATGCATTCCATGGATCTTAAAATTCTAAGCAAACAATGACTAAATGACATAACATCACAACACACTCACATGTAACATAAACCATTATCTCATAATATTGTGTGATACAATGTCATGTGCATCACATTTATCATGTATTGTTGGCGGGGTTACAATCTTAGGAGATTGATGGTCATTCAAATCTAACAACCTCATGGGTGTTGAGGTGCTGATTAGTAGGGAGATTGGTTCACAGTTTTTACATCCTCCATTTTTATCTGTTATGTATCTAACTCAGTAAGAATTTTTTTCTTTAACTCTATTTGTAGAATCGCCTATGAAAATGTAACATACTGTGAAAGATTCCACCTGAACGAACCTGGTTGGAGGGAATGCAAATTCTGTGAGAAGGTAATCTCAAATCTGATATTCTTGAAATCTCCAATAAGTTATAATCTTTTCTGCTCACCAAGTCTTCTTTGTTTTAAATTATTACAGCCTGTTCACTGTGGATGTGTTGTTTCAAAGTATCTTCACGAATGTCTTGATTTGGGAGGAATATCATGTATAAAATGCATAAGAGCAAGGGGAACACAAGCCCTAAAACCAATACAGGTAATCAGTTATCTATTTCAATCTTTTTTCTAATCATTTGCTGATTGATTCCTTTTTCTAATCAATTATATTTGTTAAACGCAGAGCTACCCAACCGACATTCCTAATGGCTTCATTCCATTTTCTGCCACTTGGCATTCATCTGTGATTGGTAATCGAATAAATGGTGGGGCCAGCCTTGAAAAGGGAAAACTGACACAGTTAAGCGAATCCATAGAGAAACATCATCAACCCTCTCCTTCAACTCCATCCCTTACTCATCAAATCAAACAAGATGAAAACCGTAAAGAACTCAGCACAATCTTTCCAAGTGCATCATCTTTATTTGGTACACCAGATCATCATAATAATAGTGGAAGAACAGATTTAGGTCTGAAAGCATTATATGAAGCAATCCCTCCTCAACCATCTTTAAGTTATTCTCTTGGTAATAATAACAATGCATTGACCACCACTACCAAGCCTCCTAATGTTAATGCTAATGCTAATGCTAGTAGTAGTGATGGAAGAGAAGCAGAGAAAGTTGCAGGTTTTAAACAAGGTCAAAGATCGCGTGTCACGTTTCCAAAACCATCTAAAACTGGGACTGGGAGTAGTAATAGTCAACGCTCACAGTCAAACAAAGGGGCAGTTTCGGAAAACAGAGTTGCCAGACCACCTGCTGAAGGTAGAGGTCGGAATCAGTTACTCCCGAGGTACTGGCCAAAGATAACTGATCAAGAACTGTTGCAAATATCTGGGGAGTATCCTTTTTTTGTTATACTCATTTCTACCCTTCCACCATTATAATATCATCATATAGGTGAAAGAAAAACAATTTGTTTTTTTTTTTTCTTAACTGTATCTTCTTGTAGCTTGAATTCCAATTGCACTATTACTCCATTATTTGAGAAGGTTCTGAGTGCTAGTGATGCTGGTAGAATTGGGCGGTTGGTCTTGCCTAAAGCATGTGCCGAAGTAGGTTTTTCTTTTTTCTTTTTTTCTATCGTGTTCCATGGTCTAATTTTATGATGGTGAAATATTTTATATTTGTGCAGGCGTATTTCCCTGCTATTAATCAATCGGAAGGTTTACCAATAAGAATTCAGGACATAAAGGGGAAAGAGTGGACTTTTCAGTTCCGATTTTGGCCCAATAATAACAGCCGTATGTATGTTTTAGAGGGCGTAACTCCTTGCATACAAAATATGCAACTTCAAGCTGGGGACACGGGTATCTTTTTTTTTTTTTTTTTTTTTTTACATGTTTAATGATATATATTTTTTATGAACTTTTCTTTCTTTCTTAAAACTTTCTGCAGTTATATTTAGTCGACTGGATCCAGGAGAAAAACTCGTTATAGGTTGTCGAAAAGCAACAATTTCTGCTGAAATACAGGTATAATTCTTTTCACACACACACACACACATACATACATACATTTATGCATGTATTATGTTAATGAGTGAATGTATGAAAAAACAAAAGCAGGAAGGTGAAACGGCAGCTGTGAATGGTGTTGGTGGTGGGACATCTGGTGGGAATGGAAACGTGGCCACAGTATGTGGTTTCATCTGTTGAAAGCTTTTTATTTGTTTTTTTTTTTTGACCTGTTAATTCCAGTTTGGCTGATTTGGCAGAAGAATATGGAGCAAGAAGGCATGGGTAATGGGGATTCAGCACAAGTACAGAGAGGAGCAGTAGTGAATGTGAATCAAGAAAAGAATAAGAAGACGCGTAATATAGGATCAAAAAACAAGAGGTTGCTGATGCATAATGAAGATGCCATGGAACTGAAGGTCACTTGGGAAGAAGCACACGAGCTGCTTCGCCCACCTCCTACTTCTAAACCAACCCTTTCCATGATTGAAAATTGTGAATTTGAAGAATATGATGTAAGCCCCCCTCCCCCTCCCCCTCCCCCCAAAAAAATAATATAAATTATTCTTTCATTTTCATTTTATACTTCTCATCTTTCTGTCTTCATTCAGGAACCACCAGTGTTTGGCAAGAAGACTGTATTCACATCGCATGCATCTGGGTAAGACAACACTTCTTTTCACCTGTTAATGATATTATTGGCATTGCTTGTATATCGTACTAAATCATTTAATCATCAAGACACTTTATATTATTCTTGTATGAATTAGTTACCGAGCTTTTAATCATTTTTTCTAGGGTTTATGTCATAATTTAGCAACCAACCGACTCATTTAATCACTATAGTTGCTCAAAATCTAAAGCACTGAACACCACCATTTAAATCGGGGTTCAATCCAAAATCACAACCATCACTTGCTTCTGTTTGATTTAACATGTGTAGAAGACAAAAATAGATCGATATGTTCATTTACAGTTTTACACTGAAAGTCTGAAAGCTTCATTCAAATAATATATAATAATTTGTTAAATATTACGTAGTAAATATTAAAAATAAATAATAAAACGACTGAGGTGACTAAATAAGAACGTCACATGGACGCTAAATGACTAAAGCGGCTAAATAAGAACATACAAAATAGTTGGTTGCTAAATTATGACATAAATCCTTTTTATTTTTCTAGGGCAAAATAAAGAAAAAGCACTTGTACTTTTACTATTTTATCGATTTAGCTACTAAAATGGCTTCACCGTTATATTCTTCTTTACCATATTAAAAAACAAAAAATCATTTTTTTCCTGGTAAAAAGGGCAAAATACAAAAAAGGTGAACGTAGTTTCATCATTTTATCAATTTAGCCTCTGAATTATTACTGATATTGGAAAAATCTTTTAAAACTTATCCTATTGTGGTTCCAGGTCACAAGAACAGTGGGGTCAATGTGACAGTTGCTCAAAATGGAGGAAGTTGCCTCCTGATGTTCTTCTTCCTTCAAAATGGACATGCTCTGATAATGTTTGGGATCCCGATAGGTAATCAATCATATAAATATATATTACAAATTTAAAAACTATTTAGTCTAATAAATAATATTTTATTTTTACCAGGTGTTCATGTTCTGTTCCGGATGAAATAAACACACGCGATCTGGAACGTATCTTCAAATTCGGCAAAGGTATGAATCCCCAATATTTAAAATTTTTTTTTTTTTTGGATTTTGAATTTAATTAATAGTTTATACGTAATAATTAATTTTAGATTTGAAGAAGCGGAAACATCCGGAAGGAAGGGCGGTTGAAGAACAGGAACCATCTGGGCTAGACGCATTAGCTACAGCTGCAGTGTTGGGAGAAAGCGAATTTGGTGAGTCATCAGCAGCGGGGCCCACAACAAGACACCCGCGACACCGGCCGGGGTGCACATGTATCGTTTGTATTCAGCCTCCCAGTGGAAAGGGAAAACACAAACCCAATTGCTTCTGTAATGTCTGTCTCACAGTCAAACGTCGCTTCAAAACATTAATGCTTCGTAAGAAGAAACGCTTGTCCGATAGGGAGGCCGAAGTCGCACAGAAAGCCTTGGCGGCCTCCCTCAACAACGGAATCGGAATCAGCGACCGGAATGGGAATGGGAATGGAATTGAAGTGGAGGTAGAGGTGGGAGAGAGTAGCAGCAAAGGAGGAGGAGGACAGCAGTTGGATCTGAATTGTGATCCGGATAAAGAAGAAGAAATGACTCCGGTTGGTGGTGCTTCTGTGATTCCTTTAGAGTGGGAACGCGTGCTTGCAGCACTTGTACCTTGTTCGCAGCCTCCTCCTAAAGCTACAACTGAAATGGAAGTGTGTCCTCCGGTTGAGATTAAAGTTGAAGGACAACCTTCATCTTTGGCAGCTACGGATGAAACCCCTGTCCCCATGGTAGATGTGGTTGAGGTTGAGGTTCAGATGGAGGAGAAGCTTGTTGAAGAAGACAGGTAGGTCATCTTAAAACTGGAGGATGTAATTGTATTCTGTTTTCTGATATAAAGGTAAGTAAGTTTGTGATTTTGACTTGGTGAGGTGAGGTGAGGTGAGGGTACTGGTTTTGACTTGTGACTCTTCTTAGACATGTTTTTTTTTTCTTTGTGGCGAGATGAGGCGAATATGTGATTATAATATCAATTACGGTTTGGTTTGGTTTAGTCTCCTCTTCTGATTCGCTCAAAATTCATTTGCATAGTGATGATGGGCTACAAGTTTCACAAGGGCTCAATTCTCAAAATATGCATCAACACTCAAAGCTCAAGACTCTACCCAATATCATAAAATTCAGACATTCTTTATTTGGAAATACATTACTTGCTATAAAACTTTTTAAATTATTTGAAAATTGAAATGATACAAAACCGGGCAACAGAAAAAGGGATAAAACAAAATACATTCTGTTTTTGTGGTTTAATTTTGCCTGGTTAAATGGTATTTTTTTTCTTCATTTTTCATTTTTTTGTAACCATTGTATAATGCATATTTACTCAATGGTGATTAGCCTATGAGATTAATAATTTGTTCAAGCTGATTTGGCATATATTCATTGAGTTGGACGTCCACTCACCATCCTCTAACCCTGCCAACTCAAATAGGCCATTTAGGCAAAATGTTGTTTAAAATATGGGTTCCATTCTCCAATTTGTTTTAAAATAGGATTCCCATAACTCTTTGGTAAGTGAGTTTTATCTTGATCCAATAATTTCCTCATCTAATTTGTTTACATTATGAAAAATCTAAAGAAAAAATGTCATTTTTGGTAATGGGTTGATTATGAACCAACAAAGAAGAAGAAGAAAGATAACATGGAAGCAGCTTATTTTGAACTCAAGCTTACCATTTTGGAAAGAAGAAGAAATATGAAATGGAAGCAGATCATTTTGAACTCTAGCTTACAATATTTGAAAAAGAGATGAACATGTACAAGATGAGACTGATCATGAAGCTTTGAATGTTAGAAAAGAATTGGACCAAATGAATAGGAAGATGCTCAATTTAAAAACGTGTGGTAGTTGTGTTGGTTATTTTGTTTCTAGTTAATTATTTTCATTGACCTTTGTAATAGTTTAATGTTTTTGAAATGATGAATAGTGTTCTCTTTAGTTTTAATGAACAAACTCAAATCATATATAAATGCATACAGTGATATTAAATAACGTAAATCAAAATCCCACAAAATATATAATACGATCACATTCACATCCTACTTGTATTCCAACCATTTGTAAAAACGACAACCTATCGATAAATACTATGTTTGAGCAATTTTAAACAATAAAAATAAAGGATAAAAAAAATAAAGAATGCACGGGTGGGTTTGTCTACTGATCTGGTAAAACTGATCTATCTTATAACAAAATTAAATGTTGGCCGTGTTCATTGTTGAAATTGAATTACTTAAAAAGCAAAAATTAAATCTAAAAAGGTTATCGATTTTTCCAAGACAACTCCAATGGTCAAAACATATTATTAAAATTGTCCGGCCATTATTCTTTATTGCTAAAATTAATTTTAAAATTTTGACTGTCTTTTTTCGAATCGATCAAACACAAGCTGTTCTGTTCTAACAGTTACAAACCTGCCGACTCCTTATGTCACAAGTCACACACATATCTCTACTCAATAAACAACATGTTTATACGATCGACCGGCCGAAGGTTTGGCTTTTAACGGCCGATCGTCGGATCTTCATTACATATATGAAATCTCCTCCCCTGCAATTCTTACTAATCTCTCACTAGATCTCTCTCTCTCTCTCTAGAACCAGAACATCAGATTAACATTTATAACAATATAATGAGTGATCGAGCAACGTTGGCCAAGGCTAGAAGAGAGCTCGAAGAATTGTATCTTGGTGTCCCTGATGATTCTGTAAACCTAACTTTTCAAGATTTTGCACAAGTGTCACAGAATCATGTATCCACGGCAGCCGGCGGCACCAACCCCACCTCCACCGCAACCCACCAAAAAAATGGATTCAATATCTGAATTATCCACCCCAAAACACGATCACTTTCCGCCACAACATCTGGCCAAACTTCCCAGTCTTGATTTCAGTAGAGCCTTAGAAGCGTCCTCCACCGCTCCGCCACATCTCCATTCGCCGGCGCTTGCGGTGCCGCCGGGGAGAAATTACAGGCACCACCACCGAGTGGAGGAGGTAGTGCAACATGGGTATAGCCATGGTGATCATCATGATAATTATGCTGCTGGATCACACGAGCATCATGCGATGAAGAGTCATGGCCATGGACATGGACATCATGGGCATGTTATGGAGAAAAGCATGGCGTATGATGAGATGAGCATGACATCCATGTATCAAGAAAAGAGCGCACGACGTCGTCCTGGAATCCCTCACTCCAATATTTGCACTGTCTGCAGTGTCTATATCTATATGTTTCGTAACCGTTGCCTTGTAAGCCAATTCTCTCTATCTCTTTCTTTAGCGACGGGTTTAAATTTGTCGTCACAAAAAATTTAAATCTAGAGGGCCAATTTCGACCAACATAATGTTAAAACAGTTAATATGGTTGTGTTTGGTTTCTAATGGATATATACAACTAATCTAAATAAAAGTTTAAAATAGAAAGAAATAGATCAAACAACTTTAAATTGGTACGAATTGTACTTAATTGTTCATAACATGATAGATAGCTTTCTTTATCCAACAAACTTGAAAGTGAACATTCATTAAACTTTTATTCTAAACGTCTGACATTATATTTATAAGTTCATAATAAAATAAGTGACTATGGATTATCTTACATAGAAATTGACTTGGTGATATATAACCCTTATTCGTAGTTTCAAATAGAGTTTTTTATTTGATTAAACATAGATTACTAATTAACATTGAAACTATGTAATAAAAATTGATTGAAAATACGTTTATTTTCCGAACAATTTGTTAATATATTTCATAATAACAGGAAGAAAATCAACTTATTTATGTGAAACAGAACAATTTAAAATTAAAATTCATTGATAACGAGTCAATTGGGAGAATTATAAGGAAAAAGAGGCTAAAAGATAAGTGCAAACTATATTACGGTGTTTACAACGTCCTAATATTACTTTATTCAAACACATAAATCAGTAAATTAATATTAATACTATTATGAAAATATAAATAAAATAAAATAATATTTGTTGGTCGACCTGAAGCAAGCCGTTTTTAGTTTTTACATGCCTTGAAAATTTATCCGTTTTGATTCAAACATATTCTTGTTTCTTCAACCCATTAACCAGTTATTACCAAAATTTTAGTATCCTCAAACCAATCATAAAAGTTCATATGTTTTGACATGTTTATTTTGCAGGTTTGTGGAAGAGTATATTGTAAACAATGTTTGAATATCGGAATGGGAGAGATGACTGAAGGAAGAAAGTGTGTTGATTGTGTTGGAAGAAAATTCAGTCAACGGTAAGTATAAGTCAAAATTGGAAAGTCAAATGGTTTAAACAAAAGCAAAAACTAGGTTTATTGAGAAAATACAGTGATTTAAATGAGAAAATTAAAAATATTGTTACGTATTTATCGTATAAGTTTATATATGTGAGATTAAATTACTGGGTTTAACTATAATAATGCCTTTTTAATATAATGTAGGTATATACATAGGGCAGGGAATGTAGGGTGCTGGTCAAGCTGTTTCAATGGGTACCCAAATAGTGTGAAAATACAAGAGCTTAAATGGGCCGAAAGAGGACCTAGAAGATCTGGACAAAATATGTATAACAAGAGTGCAATGATGTCCACTCAAAAAAGCCCATTGGGGACCCCAAGAACTCCAAATCGGGCTCATTTTACAAGCGGCCCACCTTCTTTTGTTACTACTCCCGAGTATTCTCCTTATGGCACCCCTTCACGTCATCACCTTCCTTTCTAAAAAAAGATATAAAATTACTCATAAATTTGGAATATTTTTTTGTTTTTTGATTTGGGTTGATCGTGTAAGATAACAACTTATTTTCATATTTTTACAGTTTATGAAAACTTATTCTTTTATCAATTGTAGCAGTGTATTTTGTAATTTGACCGTTTTATCATTATGTAAACTTCGAATAATTATGTGATATTATAACGTGAGTCTTGTGTTGTTTTCATAATACCATTAATTATTCATTCCATATCTCTTGTGAAACAAAAGAAAAAATATATAATCGCAAAGAGAAATTAATTTCCCTTCTATCTTTTGTGCCTACATAAATTTCTACCCACTAATATCAAGAAATTTGTCACTATTTTCCATGTCATTCAATTTAACTTCATATCCCAAAACTACCCTTAATGAGTAAATTAATAAAAAAAGAAGAAAAAAAAAACATCACGTACAATGATGATCTAATGAACGTGTGCGACTATCGCTTCCTTCTCAAACCCTTCTTCTCAATCCCGATTCCTTCTCAAACCCTTCTTCTCGTCTACTGTTGCACACCGAAAATAGTTATCCCTAGCGCCAGCAGCAACCCCCATCATCAGAGGTAACTGTTTTAATCAAGAACTTCGTTAATAATCAAGAATTTTCTCATTACTGTTTCTGTGTAATTTTTTTATTCGATTTCTATGGAATAACGACACTGTAACCATGTTCTACCACTACCACAACAACAAAATCAGTATTAAGATAATGAAAATTATCTATCAAGCACTAATCATAAAACAAAACCACGTGTAAAGTATTAAGATATTTTTCGGTAACATAAATTGAAATACCTGATCGCATTTCTTGTACAGATAACAAGAAAGAATGAGATGAAATCCATACTTTCTTAAAATAATTAGTTTTCTCATTCTTATAATCAGAATAACAAAGTTCCTCACTACTGTTTCTGTTTCTCATTCTTAACGTAATCAGGATGGAGGCTACAAATTCAGTTGAAGAGGCTATAAATTCAGTTGAAGAATCTGCAATTTCAGTTGAAGAGGCTGTAAATTCAGTTGAAGGGCATATAGTTCTCAATCCTGAACATCAACACATTCCTAAAGATGGAATGGAGTTTGATTCAGAAGACGACATTTACGATTACTTTAAAGCATATGCATTCCAGAATGGTTTTGGTATATGGAAAAGTAGTACAAGAACAAAAAAAAAATTGTGCTAAAACATACTATTCACTTGGATGTGCCAAAGGAGGTGTATATGTGTCTAAGACAAACAAACCATATCAAAAGTCTTCTAAAACAAATTGTAAAGCAAAAACTAGTGTAATTGCATATGGTGACGGAAGATGCGTTATCTCTAGTGTTTTTCTTGAACATAACCATGCTTTAAGTCCCCGAAAATCTTGTTTCCAACGATCACATAAGAAAATGGATTCATATGCCAAGAGAAGACTTGAGTTGAATGATTATGCTGGAACTCCATTAAAAAAAAGCTTTCATTCGTTAGTTGTTGAAGCGTTTGAAAGATCTAGTATGCTCAAGAATCATATTAAAGTGATATTGCTAATTAATATATGATACTAATGAGTCACACTAACAACAACTTGATATAATTGATTATTTATTAGAAACTGATTTTAATAAATGTTCAATAAACTCTTATAATCAAATTGGAAATTATTTATTTCATGGAAATCATAATTTTCATTAGCAAGTAACATAATATATCATATAGTATGATTTATTAAGTCATGTATAACATTTTGGACCATAATGATTTTTTGTCTTTTACCAAAAGGTTAAGGTTTATATTTTATAAAAGAGTTTATAAAGTTACCAAGTTTGACTTCTTATTATATGTAAAAACCATGGGCATGCTTCTATGATGCAAGTGATGGCTTTTTCATTATTTAAAGGAAAAGAACACATGGCTTAAGGGACATGGGAGGCAAGTAGGCTTTAAGAGACATAATGTGCTTAAAGTGTTAAGGACTTATGGTCCAAGGATCCACTTTATGCACATATAAATGAGGTTTGCACTCATTCTTGGCTTCTTCAAGCCAAAACCGTAACTTGCATAGTGCAAGGGTTCTCTCTCTTTTGGTTCATTTTTTGAAGATTACTTGCATATCTTTTGCTCTCTTGGATAAAAACTTGGGTATTTTATTTTCAAGCTTAAGAGTTAATCAAAGAACTAGCACTCTACATCAAGTTGAGTCATTGTTGGTGTCTCTAGAGTTCATCATTCTTCATCAACTTCCAAGCCTCCCAAGAGGACCCAAAGAACAACAAAGGTTGTTATTTCTTCATCCTTTCTATGGTTGGTGTTTAATCTTTCTATAACTTGCAAAAAGATCCTTGGTGGGTATAAAATGTTTATGTTATGTTCTAAATTAAAGTCTTCCGTTTGCCATATTTTCTAGTTTATGAAACTATTTTTTAACTAAAATCCAACAATTGGTATCAAGAGCCACCTTGCAATTTTGGTTAGATTTTTTGATTTTTGGAAATCTTAGTTTTTGGAGAATATGGATAACTTGTTTTTGTATAAAAATAAGTTCATACATATTATCTATGACAACTTCATAATTGTTATTTTTTTATGTTACAAAAGTTTTCATGCATCTTGTGTCATTTAAAGTTGTCTTAGAAAAACAAATATTGTTTTATGTGTATGTTGATTTGTATAATGTGCATAAACTAGCCAATGACCATTATGATTGTTGTGTTGTTGTGTTTGTTGTTTTTGTTATAAAAATGGTTGTAATAATTTATTTATTAATATGGTATGTAATAATTAAATAGATTAGTTTTCTTGGTTATTTTTGTAAAGTAATAGATTAGTTTTTAGAAATAATTTATTTGTACAAAGATGTAACAAGAAATGAAGTTAGAGCCATTTTTTGAAGACAAATGGGCAATTTTCGTGTCTTCATAAGTGCTGGACAGAAAGATGACATTTTCTAAAAAGTGTCATGAATGCTGTCAACAGTAGCTTTTTCCTTGAAGGGTTGTTGACCTAATGCAACACTTTCTGCAACCTTTTTCTGAAAAGTGTTACATGTGGCTGAATTTTTCCTTTAAAGAAGATTTTCCAATCTTTTGCAAGCAATGAATGTTTACTCAAGTGAGAGCTTCTACAACAACATTACAAGAAGATTTTTGGTCCCCTTAAATGTCCCTTTAGGAATGAACTTGACATCTTTTGTGTTGGCTCACAAAAATGTCATTAGTTGGTTATGTTTATGCACATTTCTTTTTATGCATGTTGGTGTTGTTTATTTTATGCATTATTTTATGTTGTTGATAAATTAGTTTTTCACATGCTAAAATAATTTTGGACAAAATAAACATCACATGGAACTTGGTTTTCAAAATTAGACATAAGATGTAACAAGTTATTGTTTTAAAATAAAACTCGGTTTTATAAAAATGTTAATAACGAAATTTTTTGAAATACTCAATTATAAGTTTTAAAATGGTGATTTTTGTAACTTATACAAACTCCAAATATATAAGTAATAAAATAAAGTTTTATTAAAGATATAAAAGGTTCAAATGCACTCAAACTTAATACCGGTTATTAAAATTGAATTGCGTCAAATTATATAAAAACTAGCTTTTTATATAGAACCTCAAAAGTTATTTTATTTTTGAAAATTGATACCATGGTTTATTATATGCATGTAATAACCATGATATCCTATGTTTTTAAACTAGAATTATAAAACATATAAAAGACCCCTTACCAAACCTCAAATATATGCAATACTTTTTTTAAGACACTCGCACATCTCTTGATGCATTAGTGGGATAAAGAATACCTAACCGCTTAGTGTTATCTTTTGATGGTCGGGGGTGTGTTCGCGATTTGTATAACCAAGTTATAGGCCGATTACATTGGTTTTTCAAATTGGATGATTTGATCGGAAATCTTTTGTGATAAAGGATACCTAAGCAAGAGAGTTCCGCGGCATAGATAGGATCAAACATGTCTAATTAAATTTTTTATTAGCGATCCCATAAATCTAGGAATTATATAGTAAGATATAATTGATAATCAATATCTACCGGGTTGGATTCAAATGAATGGGATAAAGGACACCTAACCATTTATTTGTTTTGCAACTTGGATCCTAGACTTTGATAATTAATGTTTTTGGAAACTAAAAGGGTATTAATTATTGAAGATTAAATATTGAAAATATTAAATGAATTTTGTTAAAATTTTGTAGTTAAATAATCCATTCTCATTATCATGAATTGTCATCTTCTTTGATGACTTAGTGAAACAATAACATTCACTAGATACAACTTCAATGAATGAGTTCTTGTCTTAAGACACAATCTCGTGAGAGATATGAAATTGTATAGACTTAAAGACCCTAATCCTAAACTGTTCGCTTTGAGCAATAAGCCTAAACACGATACCTAGTAAAGACATCACTGTGATGCTAAAGATGTCTCTAACATCAAACTAGGAAAGGTACAAGTCCAAAAAGAATCACCTTGTGTGATCCAGGAGGCCCAATGTTTTATGGACTGAACACCCTTAAGCTCAAGAAATCTACTAAAGCTCACATAGATAGATCTTGTTTCTTTTGTGGAGAAACTGGACACTGGAAGAGGATTTACTCCTCTTATTTGGAAAGAAAGTCTGGAAGAGACTAGTACTTCTAGTATCTTCTAGATAAAACTCATACTTTTCATATAATACTTAGGTACTTGGTACTTAAATGTTAATCTAATATTTGTAAATGGCTTGCAGATATTTACTGAAGAGTAATCAAGTTGAGCACAACCAAGTTAGAACTACACTCTCAGAGTTTAGTTTATTATTTATGCTTAGAACATAAAGTACTTGTAATGTAAAACAATATTTGTTTTGGAACAATGTATGTTTTAATTTAGCATGTCTAACTTTATGTCTCAGTTATTTTATTCAAATGTTTGATCATTTACTTAATCGTTTTTCATAACGATAATATTCATATTCTGAAATGATTAACTTCTATTTATGAGACTAGATATCTTAATAGAATTATAAAGTAAATATCAACATTTTATAAATAAAACCAAGTTCTATATGCAAGCACTTTTGACTTAAACTTGTTTTAAATCAAACTTATCTTTGACATTGTTATCTTTATTATATA